AAACCAGATGCCCATAAAAGGCCCAAATCCACCTGACTTCATCTTCTAAGTTCCATCCTTGCGGCTGCGCGGTTATGCCCTTCCAAGTCTTCAAGCTTCCTCACTGCTCTCGACAGAGCCAACACGCGTGGCCGCTTCCCCTCATCGGGTGTGGCTCTGTCACTGACTACATGTATTGAATTTTAACATAATTGTCTTGAATTAGTGATATAGCCGACCCACCCCTAGTTTAGTGTGAATGATAGTTAGCTTGTCGTTTATCATAAATAAGGAGATTGCTCATCTCATTTATCGTTTCATTGCCTCAGATATGATTTTTATTGTTCTGTATACTAAGGAGGATTGTGGAAGTAATATTGATCTTTTTATCCTACATTTGCATATTTGTTCTGCCTGATACCCTCTGCTATGTTTCTTCTATGCATTGTAATAACATTGGTCATCATTATCATTTTTTTTCCTCTTAAATAATTTTGTCAGGTACTCGCCCCTGCATAATGTCAGGAGACCTTGGGATGAATCTCCAGAAACGACCACTCAGTATCCATCCACCATGCTATTGACAGCTGATCACGATGATCGGGTTGTGCCATTACACTCATTGAAATTACTTGCGGTGGGTATTAAATCATCGAAATTAAGTTTTTATCGTCGCCTTATTCTGATCTTCATTAGCATTGAGTTTCACTTGATTATGTCTGGACTCGAGTGATTTGTGGGGGTTGACTCTTACTGGGGCCAAACGGTGTCCTTGTGGATTATCTGCAATTTTTGTGACTAATATGTTCGAACATAACTGACTTGTCACCTTTGTCAGAGGAATTTAATCGAGATAGCCCTGTTTTAGTTGATCACCTCGTGTACTAAATTACTAATATTAGGCATGTCTCTGCTGTGTCCATGTTTTGTTTCACCTATTTTTAATCCAGATAATAATATTTCTCTTCCATTCATTCATAGACCATGCAATATGTTCTATGCACAAGTTTGGAGAAAAGTCCTCAAACAAATCCAATAATCGGCCGTATAGAAAGTAAAGCAGGACATGGTGCTGGACGTCCAACACAGAAAATGGTAAAAATACTCGACTTCCTCTCTTTTTGTCCCTGGGTTAGTAACGTTTGCTTATACGACGGAATTAACCCCAAACACTTGTTTCTTAGATTGATGAAGCTGCAGACAGATATGGATTCATGTCAAAGATGTTGGATGCGCCATGGGTTGATTGAACCCAACGTTACTTAAAAAGAAAACAGAAAAAAATCATTTTAGAAGGACATATACTCGTGTGAAGCTTTCGGCATAGGCTTGGAGAAATACATTTCACAGTTGAAAATCTCTGCTTGCTTCAAATGATGAAATTCAATCAGAATGTTAAAGATTCAGTTATTTTTCTTTGTCTAAGTTAATTCTTTCCGATAAATGGAAGATGCTTTTAAATTTTTCGTCGGGCTTTCTTGAATGAAATAGAAATTCAAACCATTTTGTTTACTGCTATTATTACTCTTGTGACAATATATCCGCGGGCTTTGATTTATGAAAGACGATTTTGTTCTTTGGTTAGACATGATATGAAATCTCTATATCTATTTACTCTCATCAGCAACCAACACGACTCAGGTGTCCAAGGCCATAAAGTGTGTGTTCTGTTCAATGAAGTTTAATCCAATAAAGTCCAATGCTGTACACAGCCCCTGTTTGGTTTAGTTAAAAATCAAAAATTTAATAGATTTCGATTAAAAAATGGTTGAAAATTTGTCGACTCTATAAAATATTTGATTAGAATTAATGATTGACTTCGAATCAGATTTTTATCAAGATTTTGATTCACACCAATTAGGTACCAGATGCACCACTAGTATTACCATGTACTCATGGAATCAGAGATCTTGATGGCTTGTCATCGATAACATCAATAATCTTGAAATCTCTCTGTCCATTTGAATTTTAGTATGATTAAATTGCTTGATTGAACTTAATAAGCTCTAATATCACAAGTCTTTGTTTGGTGTAATTAAAAATAAAAATTTCAGTAAATTTTAATAAAAGTTGATGAAACGTTCGATTGAAAAATTATCTCTCTTATGAAATATTTGATTAAAATTAATTATTAATTTTGACTTGAATTTTAATCTGCACCAAACAAGAATTTAGGAGAAGCCCCGAAATCTCGAATCGAGTATGCTGAACATTCTTGGTCTATCCTTCTTTTGTAGGAGGTTCATTCGAGGCTTTAGTACCTTCACAGCTCCGATTATCGAGTCCACGAATCATAGAACAATGACAAATACACTCACTCGATAGTAAATAGTATCTGGTATTAGGACACCATGTTTATTAACATTTCATCATATAAATAGTAGCTTAAAAACATGGCAAGTAATTTTTAGATTTTGAAAATGAAATGAGAAAATGTTTTAGATACGACAATTCAATTCACCTGATTAAACAAAAAAGGCTTAATAAATATTATAAGTTGTTTAATTCAATTATAATCCATCCTGTAAGATTTAGGGATTAAACAAACTATAGGTACCACGTAGTCAATAAAAACAAAATACACCTAGAAAAACAATGGTTCAAAATGCAATAATCTTGTGACTTTATATAGATGAAAATGCACAGAAAAAAGTATGAAAAGATCATCAAGTGGTCCTACACAACCCTTTGGCATAGATTCAAGGAAATATGCAGACTAGAAAAGGAGAACCTTCACTTCATCTCTTGACAGCGGCTTCAAGATAGAAATTTAAACAGGCCAAACAAATTTAATTACATACTTCAAAATATGCCCCGTATCCACGAAGTCGAAGATTGTATAAGAAATAAGATGAGAATTCTGATTCCGAGTAAATTGATATAAGGACACGGTGCATGATATAAAGCATCCAAATAATATCTTGGGGAATCGGTAAAAGCCAAAGACGAGAGACTTAAACTAAGAAGCTAATATCACAATGAATAGGAATCTCCTACTATAAGAAGATCAGAGATAGAGATCCACCATCAAACAGAACAATGATCCTCATTTTCTAGTCTCTGATTCCATCAGAGTAAAGTTCCTGCGAATCATTTAAAGAGGTGTAGTAAAGTTCCTTTGTTTTCAGAAGGATCAGATGAACATTATGTGGATCAGAAAATTACAGGAGAAGGGGAAAATGAAGCAGAGATGCAGTTGCAAGATTTCCTAGATCTTCTTGCTCTAAAGTGCAATCCAAGAGAAGGGAGAAGATGGGCCAGATATGATGACTTGCAAAAGAGCTTTGGAAAAACGACAGGTCTGGTCACAATTCCTAGCTTGCTTAGCTACATTAGAATTCACTATCTACAACAGGTTGAATGCTGGAATCAAGCAAGTTATAAGACCTTCAAATTTCTTTCATTGTGGGTAACGTAACAAATCTAGTTGCGTCCCGAATCGATAAAGTTAAAGCTTGAATTATAACTACTAGGGCATCTTCTCGGTTCTTAGAGTGAGTTTTACCTCCCTAGTGGCTTTGCCAAACTAGACCTTCGTCAGCCACGATGCAGTAAAAACAACTAAACTGGTTTGCTTCTCTTCTCGAACACGATCCGAATATCAGGAAAAGTGAAATTGCTCCCACAAATAGACACATGAACACAGCAATTGAAATACATGCTATAAATTCAAATATATATCCCAGTGTTAAGTTCATTTGAACAGTATGTAGATAATCACTATATTTACAACAAGAAATGTACAGAAAAGAATTGCCCTAGGGAAATCAAAGAGTGATATTTCCAGTACTCAACTTGTAACATATCGAAAACTCGATTATTTTCAAAGAAAAGATAATGTGGTCCTTCTTGTCAAGTTGCAGAAATTTTAACTACAGGTATAACCATATTTTGGGGATATACATAAAAGAGTAAAAATATTTTGTGGCTCAAAACAGATCGTAATGAGTTTCTTGTATTGCTACTGAAATGGAATGCATTGGGACTTCATAGATATGAAGTGTAGAAGACATAACATGCCAGCTTCTTCATCTATATCCAAGCGTAGTGCAAAAAATACAATGCGAGCATGGCTTTATAACTTTCAGTCATTTGACAAAAGAAAATCACATAAAATCATACAAAAGCGAAGTAACTGCTCTGAATTGATGATAACATACAAAAATGACTGAACATTTAAATAAAAAAAATCAATTTCCCAACAAATTGCATGCTTGCACTCAAATGGATACCAAGACAATTACCTTAAAGGCATGTTTAGTAAGAACTATTGGATAGAATTGGACATTGCATATACATAAAAATTTATCTTCTTTTTCTTCGTTAATACATCCAGTACACTTTTCAAACATGCACACAAAGTTTTTAGATTCCTTCCCAACAGAACTAATCAGCTAGTGTTAATCTAGAGGAATTTTCACTCTTTCTTGTTGCCTCAAACTTAAAGGAACATTAATCACATTATAAGTAAATTATGCTCCTCTTTCAGTTCAGCAATGCGGGTATTTTTTAAACAGCTTAGTTATTGAAACATTTCGTATACTTCATTCTGCTCACTTTGAAGCAACAACCCAACAGGAGTTAAAAGAACAAGGAAACAGCAATGTAAACTTATAAAGAGATCAAATAACACTATTCAGAAGCATTTGTGCAATTCAAAACTAAATTGTCTCAAGAAAAAAATAATTATACAACCAAAAATATAAAACAATGCAGTTTAAAGATAAATCACAGTTCGCACAATTCTAATTTTCACAATCGAGATGCATAATAACCTGATTTTCATCTTCGCATAACCTTCTCCATTTTATTTTTTTCGCAAATTAACAAGATATGCAGTTATTGCAAAAAGTATTTCAAATTTTCTCAAGAAAACATTCACACCATACTAAGTCGAAAACATAAAAATTTCCCCTAAATTAACTCAACGTAATCCAAAACATTGAGCAAATAGAAACCCTAGAATAAAAAACCCAAGGATCTAGAAACTCACGTCTTAGAGAACTAGCACACACTCTCGATCAGTTGCTTCCATCGCTGAAGAGGAGGCGGAGCCTGGCGGCAAAGGCGCCGGTAGGCTCGAGAGCGGCTTCCGCAAGGAGGCTTTGTTTTATATGATTCATGCGAGATGCGAGACTTTCCTGTTCTTCCTTTAATGCTGCCGTGTCCTCAGTAAGATCGTAGATGCGATACTTTTGCCCGACCGATCGGACACTGAGTAGTAGAATCCCGGTCATCGCGAAAAATTGTACGAAGCTATGTTTTCTCTTCATCGCGTTTGCCATGAAGCCGAGAGGTTTTCGACCTCCGGCGGTGGAAGGCGGCGCTGAGGATGCCATGGCTGAGCTGAGACTGTTGGTTTGACTACCCACTGCTGATTGAGCTCGATTTAATTTAAAGTTACCTTTTTTTAAATTAAAAATACAATATACTTTTTATTATAAAAAAAAAAATTAAGACATGTTTATTTAAGTCAAATTCAATAATTAATTTTAATCACATATTTTATGGATTCTACAACTTTTCAACTATACATATCATCAACTTTTGTCAAAATTTACTAAAAATCTAATTTTAATCATCATCAAATGGGGGCTAAAAAAAAGATGGAGATAAGAAAAACAAAATATATATGCACCAAGTTCGCATTAAGTTGATTTGATCGAATTAGATGAATAGTGGGAGAAGTTAATGGTCGAGTTGGTCAAATAGGTAGTCGAGAAGAGCATAGATTATACACAATCGAGAATTAAAAACTACTAAGTGAGAGTTTCATTTTAGAAAAATGCTAGTTGTACAGTCTTTTTGTACACCCACCCCATGTGAGGAGGCTGTGTAATTCACTGTAAAAAAAAGACTGTAAATGTAGCCTAATTCTTCATTTTAAGGTAAAGTCCAAACAAGAAAAAATTAAAAAAATGATCTCTAATTGCGGCCCGACATAGAAATCTCGAGTCAATTCCCTACTCACGAATCATGTAGAAGAGGGTCAAAATTGTTGATTAGAGGATCAAGAAGGCCATACATTTCACGAATAAAGAACAACACTTTGACTGAAACACTAATTTGGATAAAGAGTAACATGGATGTGAGTTTTCAAGTAACAAAGACCATATTTCATATTGTCCCCTTCAAAGAATCCACGTAATAACAGTTTAACTTGAACTAAGACTTATTGAAGGAAAAATCAACACTATGAGACTCCCCATTTGTTCCTGAAGTATGATGAGGTTGCCTCAACTCCTCCCGGCTACGAATGGAAGCCTCGAGTTCTGAAATCTCTGTATCCGAAAGATAAGAAGTCGGAGAATTAGGGATACTTTCGATATCTGATGCATTTGATCTGTACTTGTGGTTGTGGAGCAAATGAATGGGTGAAAATCCCTGGCTCGGAGTCGTTTCGCCACTCATGAATCCTGCTCCATGAGAAGAAGCATCGTTTCCTTCGCCTGTTTTGCGCATTTTCTTCTTCTTTTTCGCAGCCTGATGCCATTTCTTGAGAGCCTTGGCCGTCTGCTCCTCGAAGATTGTTTTCTTCATATGTGATCCCATCTAAACACAATGAGCATGTTCAGTGCGCAGTCGACGACATGATATTACTGTATAATACTTTTTGTCACTATGTTCGATCATTAATACTAACCTGTGTTACGAGGGAATAAAGTGGGAATGTAATGTAGCTGCACAAGATTTGAAGGGCTACCCCAAGGGAAACTCTAATCAAAATTGCAAAGAGTTTCTCGTGGAAGCATTTTGTGATTCCAAACTCATACTGCATTAGAAAAGTTTTTGCTTATAAGTTACATGCAATACAATAATCTAATTAGAGATAAAAACAAACAGATTATTCGAGATGTACTTACCCATTTCCATAAGAAATATGCCATTTGGAATGCATTCTGCAAAATTTTAACATGTAATCAATAAAAACAAAGGTATGTCTTATGAGTGGCAGACAGGTCGAGCCGTTCTGGTTTTGACTTGGTTCATGAGCCGTTTGGGCTCGTATTGATATGAGCTTCTGGCCGAGTCAAGCTCAAATTTTTTTTTCTTGAGCCGAGCAGACTCATGGGTTAGGCCCATAAGATGGCTCGTCTTAAACTCGTGGATCTACTCGTTTTTTCTTATTTTTTTTAAAACAAAGAACAAAATTGTGTTGGGCTAGTGTCCACACGAGTCAAATGATCAATCCAGCTCGAACTCAACTCGTGTCCTTACTAGCCGAGCCACCCCTAGTCTGTCTATTATAATAAAGGGTTAAGAGCATTTACCATAAATAGTGTGAAATGTATGAGGAAGAGAATCCACTCGGGTCGATTGAACCAAAAGAAGTTGTTAGTAGGCTCCACTAATGGAGCCCCACTAACCACAGTCGTCCGATCTTGAATTTGTTGAGCCATCTCCATTATCACAAGCTCCAATTTTGTACCAACTAATACAATTATCTGATCACAAAATTTCATAAATATTCATCTCTAATTCATCTGAATAGTAAGTTGATTTTAAACTTCTTATCCAATTTTTTCGTTAAATTGGCACGTAGTCTTCACAAAACAATGCACAACTTAAGTTCGAAAGCAACATCTAGCTTCAAAAAAGTTGAACATGTGAGGGTCACATGACAATTTAACGTAAAAATGAACCATTTTCGTCACCAATAAATGATTGAAATTATAATGAAAGGTCGATGACCAATTTGCTCATACAATTTTGACTTTTTCACGTGCGTGAATCAATTTCAAATAATGTAAATAGAGATGGGAAGCACTTACAATTAGAGGTATCAATGAGAGCCAGGAGAGGGTATGCCATTCTGCACCATTAGTCATAGAAAGTTGAACTACGAGTTTTAGAGATACAAAGCTATTGATTAAAACTACTGCAAGTGCATGTATACGTGGTACACTCAATACTACACACTATATTGAGTGGTTTCGTCCATTACATCTTACTAAACATGCGGTTAAATATAGAAAGGAAGTTGGAGAAAGGGATAGAAAATGAGACGTACTGTAAAAATTGAAAAACAAAAATATAACGGCAAACATCCACAATGGGGCACTGCATAGTCCAAACAAAAGAAGTACGTTAGGGTATACAAAGAAAAATATATTGAAAGTGCGGTGACTTTTCTGAATAATTTTAAATTTCAGTAATCGTTAAGAAACAGCATTGAAAGTACAACGACCATTGAAAATCGAAAAATTTCTTTTTTTTGTATATGGGACGGTAATTGATGGAGTGGAGGGCACAAACCTTATTCCCAAAACACTTTTGTAATCATCTTCCATGGATCTCTTTATGTACTTGTGGAAGTCAAATTTGCTATTTGGTGCAAAATGAGCCTGCAATTTTCCACACCTCAATCAAATCAATTAATTTTGATAAAATAGAGCGGCGAAAAAGAATTTACGTTAGAAATTTTTTAAGTTTATCGAGTACAAGGCATATTAATTATTTTTATTCGGATAAATTTAACTCGTTCTAATTTAATGTACCAAGGCAAATATTTTGAAGTACAATTTCCTATATTCACAAACTTTTTAAATAAAAATAGTAATTTTGTTAACATACTTCATAAATTCTAAAATGCTATTATAAAATGAAGTAAACTATATGCAAATATCACTTAATATTATTTAAAATTTTGAAAATAAATGAAGTTCAGATATGTTGTCCCAACAATAACATTTTGACATCCCAATACAATTTCGAGGTGTCGACAAAATTTTAAATTTGAAACCTTAAAAATTGTAGTAGAGTTTAATGGATTTTCGTCACCTCTAAAATTTTGAATCTTAAAATTGTAATGATGTATCAAAATTTTAGGGATGGGACAACGAAATGGACAACATATCTATATTCGAATTTTGGTTGCATGAATAATATGCATCACCTTTTGCGATTTAGTTAAATCAAAGTTACGTCAATTGAATAAATAATACTCTCTCCTTTCCAATTATATAGGTTTTTTTCGTTTTTTCACACGAATTAAGAAAACTTCTTTAATGTCATTGGAAAATTAATTTTTGCCAAGATCTTTCCTAATTTACCCTAATTTAATTTTCAGTATGTAAAACTACATTATTGTTGGAACTAATAAAGAATTTGAAGAAAAAGAAGAAATTAGAGTTGTTCCATATTTCCAAGAAGCAGAAAATGTGTGTATTTTGATGATTTCAAGAAGTTGACATATTAAGTGAGAAAAATTTATTAAGGGTATATTGGTAAATGAACACAACAAAATATTCTACATATCTTTTCAAGAAGTGGGAAATGTGTGTATTTGGATGATTTCAAGAAATTGGCATATTAAGTGGGGAAAATTTAATAAGAGTTTATTGGTAAATGAACACAACAAAATATTCTACATTATGAAACAAGCCTATATATTTGGGACAAGAGAAAAATGAAACTCGTCGTACATAATTGGGATAGAGGGAGCATTGATTTGGTTTAATTAAAAAGAGGCAACTCACATTGATAAATCCATTGCGGATGGCCATGTAATCTACCTTGGATATTGATCCGAAAAATTGTCTGAAAAATGCTACCTATTATGTAATAAGAACAATTAAAAGAACTATATTTGCAATAAATACAATAATTTTGTTAAAAATAATTAATAAGAGAAAAAAAAAAAACCTACGATCCATCGAATCCCAGGTGTGCTATTGATTCCACCATGTCGCCTCACAAAGGATGTTTGATGAGCAAATCTAAATCTAGCAGGATCTGTTAAATAAAATTATCAATTATTTTATCAAATAATCTAGTAGTCAAACATGCTACAATAGCTTTAACTTCAAATAAATCCTATTCATTTTTTGAAACATTGCACGTGAACTTCTTAAAGCATATAGATCCTAACTTCTTAGAAAGTCGCAGAAGTCTCCATTTGAATGGAAACAGTATGATGTTGCTCGGTTAAAGTGGCACATATTTTGCACGTGAACTTTTTAAAGTATATAGATCCTAACTTCTTAGAAAGTCACGAAAGTCTAAATGGAAATCATATGCTGTTGCAAAGTTAAAGTGTCACATGAGCATGAACTTTTTATTCTAAGAGCATTTTGTCAATTCACCAGGGGAAGACCTACTTGAGGACCGTGGGGGCTGCCGCACCCACTCAATTTTCAGATTTCTTGATTTTTATTCAAATTTTCAGATTTTTTAAATTTTTCTGTCCAAATTTTTAGATTTTTTTCAAGGTTTTTTGGTTTCACCACTACTGAACTTCCTCCCTGGGTCCACCCCTGCAAGTCACCACGCATCCACAAACACACGATAATCATTTCTATCAGTATTATCGTATTTTCATTCCAGGGGAATATAGGAA